GGCGTACGGAGGGCCTCAAGAAGCCAAGCATGAGGAAAACCTCAAGACCGGGAAGGCCAGACGACGAGGATCAGGTCAGACGAAAGGGGGCCACGGCAAAGTCAATTGCAGCTGGTCTTTCTGGCGCTGGCGGCGGGGCCGAACACAGCAAAGTTCGTTGCCCCGTTCTTCCCCATTCCCCCCCTCTCGTCGTCGTCTGGCGTTCGGGTCGTAACTCGGATCTCCGTCGGCCGGTCAGGACCATCAGGGCAGCCCCAGGGCGCTCTCGGCGAGGCGCAGCTGCTGGAGATCATCGCGAGGCTGGAGAACTGCCAGGGACCGACGAGAACTTCCGAAGACCTCGAACCTCAAACATCGCATCCACTCGCACAACAAAAACCCTTTCGGACATGGCGACCTGTGCTGGCTGGGCCGGCAGGGGGGCTCGCCGGAGGCAGGTCCTGAAAGGGAACGCTGGGGGAGACCAGCTAAAGGGGGGAACCGTCATCGAGCTCGCGTCGGCGATACACCGCCAACCGATCGGCAAAATGCCCCAAATGGCGACACCGCGCGTTTCTGTGCGGGACGGGCAATCAGGCCCCTATTGTCGAGGCACAGGCGATCGGGGGTTGATGCCTTCCTCCTGGGCCAGTGCCCCCCCCTGTCGTTGCCACTGGTGAGGAGAAGAAGAAACACTGCACAAACAGAAACTTTCGGAGGTCTGCTCGGATCTCTGTTGGATCCGCGCTGGAGTCCCCAATCCGCCCGGACCTAAAGCCAAGCTGCTGCCACATGGAACGCTAAATAAGGAACGAGGTTCTGTCTGGCCCCAACAGCGCCACGAGTACACGAGAAGCGCTGGCGGAACCACCATGGAATGACCTGAGGAACTGTGGGCCCACACCGAAACCGAATTGGCAAATGCTTCAGCGTCTTGGACGTATGCTTGTGCTGGTAAGCTTCTTCCTCGACCCCGTGCCCAGAGGTCTCTTGAATGTGTGTCCGAGTAGAAGGGGTCGATTCATCGGGCCGCATAGCCGATGTATCGGCAATGCATCGGGGATCCATCGGCGACGTCGGCGATGCCTCGGCGATGTTGGCGTGGAGCTCATCGGGCTCCGCACCGAGACGTATCGGTGATGCATCGGCGATGCGGCGCCATCCTCCGACCCCGTCTGCTCGGACCCCTGTCGGGAGGCTCCGGCTCCGCTGCGAGGCCGGCGAGCCCCCCGCTGGGCGCGGCGTCCTCCTCTGGGTCGCCGGCGGCGGCCGCGGGGCCCGTCCCCGCGCCCTGGTCGCCCACGGAAGCTCCTTCCGCGGCGCCCTCCTCCGCGGCGTCCTCCGGGGCCGCGCCGGTTCGAGTTGCCGACGGCATATTCGGATCGCAACGACAGCCTTCTCATTCAGATTATGGCAAAGTGACTCGCATGTCACTTTGCCGCCTCTTCATTCGCAGGGCTGGCCAGGAAACGCGAGTAGGTAACGTTCGCGTTGCGTGACCTCCAGCTTTCCCGCAGGTGATCGCCAAGGAGCCCCTCCCCCCCTCCATGCAAGCAAGTTGCGCAGACTGCAGGCTTGGGTCGTGACGACCCGAACACTGGTTCCGAACATATCGCGTGGATGATTCGATCTCGAACGAGCGCGGTCTCCCGATAGACGAACCCGTCCGCCCATTAGCTTCTGCGCTCTCGACAGTAGTTGGAAGAGACGACACAAGCGCTACTGGTGGTTCGGGGCCCTTTCATATCGTGGATACATGGTCGTGTGCAGAACGAGCACTGCTGAGCCTCTGCGTGTTTATCATCGCCGGCTAGTCGCTCGCAGAGCTGTAACCTGCAGCAGCTGCGGGCCGTTCGGTTCATCAATCCACGCAAAAGCAAGCTCATGAATTAGTATGCTGCCACAAACCGCGCACTGGAAACGCAGGAGCAGTAGAGCGGGAGGACACGCGGGGGTAACATGTTATAGCGGGGAAATAGCAAATTGCGCACTGGGAAAGAAGACGTAATAGACATAATAACCACACTCCCGGCAAACACCCTATGCAAACGATGTTCTTCCAGCAGACGAACGGGATGGGACAGTACAACAAAAGCCGCAAAAGACTTATGAGTCTGTTAACTAATCAAATCGTGGGGTCGGCATGGTTCTTCCTGCCTCTGGCCTCGTGACCGAATATCGCAGACTTCGAAACAAACGGGGCGGTGGAAGAGAAGAACGACGACGAACTACGTGAGCTCGCGCCACATCTGGCATCATACCTATCCCTTCCCATTGCGTTGTAACAAATTCTAATCGCCGACCCGGAGGTACTTCCTGAATCTCCCCAGCCAATCCGCTGTGGCTGGCTCGTGAATGGTGCCGCAACTGCTGCCGCGGTAGACTTATGCGTGCCCCAAGGCATTATGGCTGACTCTGTGATGTCTCGCAACGGGCCCTCCAGCTTCCACGATAATGCGATACGGCGGCGGTCCCCACTGTCCAAATCGTCCGTTTGCGCCACTGCATTGTCCACGACTTCCCTGGACCAGCGAAACCTCCTGGGATTCGGACTGTATGGGACCCGAAAGCGTCGAGAATCAGGACGGCCGCGGTTGCGGGGGAAGGACGAGGAGAAGGAGGACGAGGAGGAGGACGAAGACAACGACGAGGGATGGGGGGCGACGGCGAGCCCAAAGCAAACTCGACGACAAACGGTGCCCCCCCGCTCAAGTTGGACGAAAGGGAGGGGTAGCAAAAGAGGGGTTCGCCAACCAACTCACCCAACTGGTTGATTATCGCAAACAAAAACCAAGATCACCCGGAAAAACAACAGCCGAAACACCGACAATTCACCCGCGGCCGCTCAGCAACCGTGAAACAATATCTGCGCGGGCACGCGGTCAGGACGAAGAGAAAATGGCGTTGACTCATCATTTTCCCGGAACCGCAGTGGAGTGACACCATGAGCAGTAAACAAGACCCGAGCACGCGCTAGCGCTCGCGGGCAAGGCGCTTTGAGGCCAACCCTGCGGCGCGCGCGCCTGCGACAAATGACGACGGGGGTCAAAACAAATGCCCGTGCGGCCAAGGCCAGGTAATCGCAGGAAAGTAAACGAATCGGACTTGTGGGCGACGCAGCGGAGATGTCGGGGCCACCTGGGAATACTCTGGGGCCCTCCAACGCCGTTTCGGAAAGCCCTTAGAAAAAAAGGGAACCAATTCCAATGCACGTCGAGTCGAACGAGAGCCCTCTTGCGTGATGTGACATCGATTCATGCCCTGGGTAGGGGCCCTGTGATGCCCCTTCGGGGCCTTCTCGAATCATCCGATCCCATCACAAAAGGGCCCAAGAGAGCCTGAGATGGGCCCGAGACGAATTATAATCAAATCGCCGAACGATTTCTTGCGCGAGTGGATTTGGATTCATGTTGGACCCCTTTTTGGCCAGAAGAAGGGGCGCATGGCCCTCCAGTGCCGTTCCGTAGGGCCCCGCGAGGCGGATAATCATAATCATGTTCATATCAAAACCACGTCACGCACGAGCCTGACTGCGCAACCTGGTTTTCATTCCTCTTGGGCCCCTCCTGGGGCCATCTTCGTTGAGGCCCTCTCAAAGCCCTCGTGAGGCCCCCATGCGTCATCTCGGGGGGCCTCATGGGGATTTCTTAGAGCCCCCCCGAAGCCTCACAGACGCCCTTCCGCGAAGATTCCTTCAACAGAGAAGCCGATCACATAATCTCGAAAACATGAGTACTCACCCGTCGATATGGCCATCGGACTGACACCTTCGCCACATCCTCGTCACGCTGGGACGCAAGAGCATGGCTGCCAACCAAAATCGGCATGGCGATTCCGCCAGATTACTCACAATGGCCGCGAAGGCCCCTTTCAGCGCGCGCGCGTTGATGGGAAATGCCGTCTCTCACCCATCAGCCTCGTGATATACATTTGCGATCGTACTCTTCCCATCCCTTTCTGGATCGTCGATTTCACCCTGGTGCGTCTCGTCCCCCTGGCCCCTGTCACCCGTCCCCCCCTCCTCTTCCTCCGCCTCCTTCTCCTCCCACTCTGCCCGGGTATCCCGCGTCCGTGCTGCCCGCGCGGCGAAATAAATGTGTTTGTTTCGATGAAATGTGTTGCATGCTGCTGGGTCCACTATGGTCTTACCGTGCAAGTACGAGCTGCACCAACGAACGCCGGTCATGGTAGAGAACGCACGCGCATCTTGAATCAACTGATGGAAAAAAACGATGATTTACTAAAACGAGAGACGGGTTTATTGAATTGCGCCGTAAAACCAAAACGAAACAACACATCATCTACCAAACGCAAAAGCGGGCTTATTCAATTCAAGAGCGGAGTTTTTCTAAATCCGGTACCGTCAATCTGAATCCCAGATCCTATCATTACCATGACCTGAGTAGCCTGATCAATTCGCCGTGGAATTATCAAGATGTACAAAGTGTGGTATGATTCGTCCGTTGCGATGCGAAATGCACTTGCCATGTTGTGTCGTGATGATATGGCGCGGGTCGTCCCCGTTGTCTAAATCTTCCTTCTCGCCCCACGCCGTCGCGCCCATCGTCGTCACCGTTGCCGATGGAATTCGGACGGATGGGAACATGCCTCAGGCGACCCGGCATGTTCGAGCTTCGGTCAGGGCATTGGGGACCTCGCCACCCGCATCGCACCAGCATCCCGCCACCCTGCCAATGCCCCCCCCACACACCCCGCTATGACGATGCCCTGCGTGGCCCTGGCAAGCCGCCGCACCGACGCAGCCGCGCGCGGCTCGGCGGGAGCCTGCCTGGCGAGATTAGACAGTCGGCCTGGGACAACTGTGTCCCGAGAGAGGTATCATGTGACCGTCCAGCCATGGCCTTTTCTTCGCGGCAATCCTGATGGCGAGTAGCTCGGCTCATTGGATCCTGAAACCACGGCCAGCAAGAAATGTTAGTTGATGTGTTTATCTTGCCTCTGCCATCTGTGCCTCCCGGATCCTAGCAACCCCTTTCTGGACCTCTCGGGCTGCTTCTTCAGTTTACTCCGCCTGGAAATCCCACATTCTATGTTCAACGTCCATGAGGCGACTCCCGGGTCTCGTGCGAACTTCCGTCTCCTGCGCAGCCACCGCCCTCGCCCGGCTCTCGGGGGTCTTCAACTCGGTCTTCAATTGGCCCTCGCCTGCGCCCGCACGTTCGCTGTTTTTTGGCTGCAGCTGCCGGGTTTGCCCTTCGGGCTGTTCCTGGCTTCGTGCCAAGGCGACAGCAGACTCGTTGCCATCGGCCGCTTCACCTCCAGGCCCCTGCATCCTGGTCGGTCCAATCTGCTAGCCGCACAGGTAGTTGACATTGCACCCCCTACAAATCCTGGGGCACCCCTTGCAGACCAACCGCCGACAACCGCCATACTTTCCTGGGCATCGATGTTCTCGGTATTGGGATGGCAGCGGGATGTAGGGCTTCAACATCTCTCTCCAACTGGCACCATACTCACGCACGACCAGACAATCGAAGCTACCTGTTTCGTTGCTCTCGGGCAAGCCCCGGACGATCGTTAACCTCCGTTCTCGCTGCGAACTCTGCGCCGAGGCTCGCGGTGGACCGGGGTCGCATGAATGAGATCAAACGAGAATGGCCGGCGCATCGTGCATGTTCCCACGAGAATCACCCGCGCCATGCGGTCTGTCCCGAGACATCTGCGAGGCATCGGAGCGAGGCATATGCGTCGGCAGAAATCGATGTCTCCTGACCCCAATGCATGTCTCGCACTCCATGAACGAAATGGGCTCGATCTTCAAAGTCCCCACTCCCCCTCTAACCCAGTGGCGAACTCCGCCCGCGCGGGCCACGGGTCAGTCAGAACGCTCAAGTGCATCAGGAATTGTCCTGCCAGCTCTGCGCAGACTCCATCGACTCCGGCGCATCCATTGACGCGAGACCCCCCCCGCGACATCTGTCATGGGGGCACTTTCCGCGCGCCCTGACACGCTGGGCGGGGCGCGCGGGCCGTCGACCGACGACGTGGCTTCTCCTTCCACCCGAACACTTCAATTGACGGCCGCGGCGCGATGCGCGCCTGGCCCCCCGGGCGCCGACTGGGGTGTAGCCGAAGAATCCAGAGCCTGTTCCCCGATTGTCGAGGGGGCTCGCCCTTCCACTGGAGGCTTCGCCTAGTCTGCGGACCCCCCTCACTTGCGCGAGCACGTCGCATGCTTCGAGGCTCGCGCCCTAGGCGGGGCGATCTTGACAAGATCGGCACATGACTCAACAACGTTCTTTTGTCGTCGTCCCGCGCGCCTTGATTTTAAGTTGCAGCTCGCGCGGCGACCCGCGTAAAACGCTTGCACCGCGCGTT